AACAAGTTATGTTATAATTTTAAATTAACTTTGCAATTCAATCATAAAAAAAATTGTCGCATAGGCACTTTAAAAAGAGTTCAAGTAGTTAATGATTATTATACAAACTCTGCATACAATTTTTTTGTCTTTTAAGTGTTTATCACTACTTTCTGTCGTCTTCAGCAAACATCCAGCTGCATCTTCAGAGCACTTTTTCCTTTATATTACCGAAAGTGGCAAACATGCTGGTTTCAAATAATGTTCTTCTCTTTTCAGTTGTCTTTAAATTCATTGCGATGATTATTGGAGTTTTGGGAAATATCACAGTCATAATTTATGCAATTCTCTTGAGCAAAGAAAAGACAGCGACATCTTACTTGGTAGGAAACTTGGCACTAGCAGATCTTCTCGTGTGTTTAACATTTTATCCAATATCGATCATTGAGTTTATACTGACTATATTAAACATTGACAGTGATCAGGATCTATTTTGTAAGTTACATCCTTCTACCATCTGGACGTTGCTGTTTGCTTCAGTGGCTACACTTCTCGCGATTACTGTTGATCGGTATTTATATATTGTAAAACCTCTGAAGTATCCACTGATTGTGACCAAACGACGAGTTTTTCTGGCTATTTCGGGAATTTGGTTAGCTGCCTGTTGTCTTTGCACTGTTTTACTAGTTAGTTTTGCGAGATTTGACTCTGCACTAAGAAGTCTTTGCCACGCAGGTGAATATACGTATTTGTTATTGAAGACCTTTGTTTGTTATGTTCCACTTGTTTTAATCTTTTTTCTCAATTACCGAATTTTCAACGTCGCACGGAAACAACGAAAACGAATCTTGGTTGAAACAACGCGGGTAACCGTTAACATTTCCAGCGAACAATCGTCCAAAAAAATGATTGGTATCATGCGTCACCTCGTCGGTTTCAAAGCAGCAAAGACATTTGCTATCGTTGTCGCAGTGTTAGCATTCTGTGTCCTTACTCCAACTGTGGTTAGCAAAGTAATAGAAAATTATTGTGAGTCATACCGTCTGATGTGGTACACTGTGTTTCACTACGACTTTTATGGAATGAACTCAATTGTGAACGTTTTCATCTATGGGATGAGACATATCAAATACAGAAGAGCTTATGGAAATATTCTTTTAAAATTACTTCGCTGTAATAAACTCGCAAACTGAGGGTTTCCACTCTCACTCTCAGCATAGACAATCCAGAAGACATGCACGTCTTCTGGATTGTCTATGCTCTCAGAAATTAGCACCAGCTAGGTTTTTACAGCCCCATCTCAGCGGTTTAGGACTTTAGCATTCCATTATCACCTAGCGCACCACGTTGTTGTTATCATCATTACAAAAGCTCTCTTGTGTTGCATGTATTGGCTTCTCATCAGTAAACTCAGTTTATTCCTTATTACTGATTGGCGCAGTGCTTTTCCTGGTCAACCGCATTTTTGCGGATGCGCGCGATATGTACGTGCGTAGCCTATATACTGAAGGTGCATAATGGTAACATATTATTCATGTATTTCGGTCAGACTTTACTTAGCAATAACGTGTTCTATTACCATATGTTGCACATTCAATTTAGGATAATTTTAGCAACTTCTACATAAAAAATTGGGGAAACCTTGCAAACGAAGATAAAAAAGATCAAATATAATTAATACAAAGAGGACAAGGTGCTTGTTCAATGGAACAGCATTTTAGCCTTACAAATATTTAAAATACCATCGAAGACGCCAGACGGGAAAAAACGAGTCTGTGCGAACCAGTATATCAGATAATATTAATTTGTGCATTGCAAGAACTCGAATAATTTAATTTCGCATCGCGTTGAATAGGCTTACAACAAATTAGGAACACACTAGTTTTATATTTTCGACATCATCGTAAATATATAGGAAACTAAGATATTTGATTTGGCGATAATTGCATTGACTTATCATAATGATCAAGGTTGATATGCCAGGCAGTCGTATATATACTTGAAATATAGCACAGGTATGGTTGGATCACATGCATTCTCGTCAAAATCCGTCCATATAATTCAACAATATTTAAGAGCAGTCCATGCAATAAATAGATTATACATGTCCTTGCAATCGAAGAACAACTCGCAGTCAATAGTTAATTAACTATATATTCTGCATTTATAAGAACTTGCAAAGAGGTAAACTAAAAATTCGGCAATACAATGATGGGCTTTGTTTTCCACTCGATTCAGCTAAATTTGAAAGAACTATAGCATTATTTCTACTATATTTCTAAATGTAAGAATATGAAGTTATAACAGATAGCTAAAATTTAGTTATTAAACTTATATTAAAGATAGAGAAATATAATTCCACCTAAATTTGAACCATATAGACAAGGATATTATCGGAATTCATAATTAGAATTGTTTAACAAATAAATGTTAGAAATTGTTACGAAACCAGACATAGTACCACCGCGCGGTGCCCTACAGTATACCGACTGAAAACAAGTGCACGCCAAGCGAATTAACAATAATATGTGAAACAGTCTCAGAGGAATATGGCACAAAAAATACTTTGTCTCATTTAAGAGAACTATTCAAAAAATGGAGAAAAAAAATTTACAGCTTCTTCAAAAGTTGTCTATTTTTTAGGACTGTTCGGTATACCGATATACCGAAAATATCGGTATTAAATCAATATCGGTATATCGATACCGGATATTCAACCATACCAATATACCGAAATTTCCGATATACCGGAATTTTTCGGTATACCGTGTTAAATTTATCAACTATACGGCGAAACCATAACCTTTATTTACTATACTGAATGGCAATTCAAAGAACTTTCTACAGCAATGATTTAGAATTTCCACTTCAGTGAGATTTTACACTGAGTACGTGTCGTTCGAAACATGTTCGAAACAGCTTCGAAATTATCGTTTTCCCTTTTAGAATTACTCAAAATTTCCTTCAAATTTCCATTAAAGAATTTTCCTTTATAATTATCAAAGGAAAACCGGTATACCGATAATATCGGTATAATTTTTTCGGTATACCGATACCGGAAATTTCTCATACCGAACATTCCTACTATTTTTCACCATAAATTAGAGTGGATCGATATCGCAAATACCGAATACCGATATACTGCCATCAGAATACCGGTAAATATATACCGGTATTTTTAACGTGCTTTTTTTTAAGCCAAACTGAACTGCTGACCGTCGACAAAAATCAAGTTTTGACAAAATATTAATGTGGCACATACTGTTATTAGTGCAAATATCACAAGATTCGCATTATCAAGCTATGTTAACGGCGCTAAGCGGCAATTATTAGTAGGCCGCCGATTGGGCGTCGAAGTGTTGAATCTGTGAGTATTAACTTTGCTTTCTAAACGTGATTGTAAGCAAGTTTGACTTGAAATAGCGTTTCAATTCGGTATTAGGCTGCAAAATACCGAAATGTCGGTATATCGGTATTTTTAAATTGTCAATATCGCCAAACCGGTATCTAAACAAATACCGGTATACCGGATATATCCGGTATATCGATCCACTCTACCATAAATCAGCGAGCTGTGCGCCATCTTGGAAGTAGTGTGCATGTTACGTCTCAAGCACGGTCATCCAAACATTTTCCCCAGATATGCTATGGGCCTGGTTATTATGAGCCCCAAATAATACTTTGGTCATTATTTCAAATACTAAATTGATAATTGTTATTTTTGTCACCTGGGAGTGGATTGGTATGGCTAACCCTGTCCTCTGATGTCATCGGCAAAACCTCCGTCAATGAGATCAAAACATAGAGATTACTATAGAGAGCACTCGAAGATTGCATACCTCCGTCAACAATTTTTGAGTATAGGTCCATAAGTTCCATACAGACTGGACGCGATTTGGCAACGCGACGCGAATTTTCAATTTTCAATGACATTTAACTTCAATATTTTTCTATGTTTTTTAAATATTCGGAACTACTTAAGCAATTTTAACTATTTGGTCTGCATATCTTGTAAAACATTTATCCGTTGACGGTTTTAATTGTTTTTAAAAAAATGAAAATTCGCGTCGCGTTGTCGAATCGCGTTCGGTCTGTATGGACGTTTTAAGTTATACACTGCACGGGCTAATTACACATTCTGCTTACTCAACAACGGAAAAACAACTTACAACGGAAAATTTCGCACCCAATTTACATCCAAATTTCACCAAAATTTAATCAATTCGGTCCTTGGGCAATTTCCATTAGTCGCTCATATTTTTGTATTAATATAGTTGACCTGCATCTAAGGACGAAAGCGGACTTAAAGCCTCATTAATATCATTATCGAGAAGTATTAAGCATAAGCAAAATCGCTGAGTTGAGCTCCCGGGTTGGGAGCTGTTTACATGATCCCGCTTTGCCGGGACGAGATGTGAGGCGGGATGATTTTGACGTATTGGAATAAGTTTGGAATATTTTTCTAGTGATAGATTACAGTATAATTGTAAACGAAAGGTTGTTGAAGCAGCAATGATAATCTTCTTGAACTACGAGATATTCTCTAACAACATTTGAGTTTTTTAACCGTTGTTTGAAAGTTCGTTTAAGCCTAGTCATTTATTTCAATACACCAAAATTATCCCGCCTTCCGTCCCGGCAACAAGTGTTTACATGGAAGAAAACGTCCCGGTTGCACAAACCCGCTTGGCGTTAACCTCGGGTCGGTGGATAGGGCATCGCCACCCCCCCCCCCAAAAAAAAACCCCACAAAAGTTGTATTCCCGTGTTTATCCAGTTTAATACGCTCTTTGAATTAACTGTATTTATTCATTATTTGGGATATTTTGTGGACGAGTGAATGATATACATAGCTACTTCACTACTTCATCTTGTATTTAGTAACACTAACAGACAATACTATCAGTCTATTTGTTGATTGCACATAGCAGAACGACAGTCACTTCAGATATTTTTAAAATATATCAAAGTACCGAAAATATAATTAGGTGCATATAACTGATCCATCATTAGTAATAGTTGTACTACAGTCGAAGAATGTAATGAGTGGACAGTTGGCAAAATTGTTGTCTACCAGTTTAATACAGTAAGAACCATCCATAAAATGCAGCTTAGCAGTATCAAACAAGTGAAAGTTGGCCGCAGTATTCCCATGCTATGCATACAAAGTATTGTACATTATATCAACATATACTCGAGAATAGTTATCCAGCTAAACATGTATGTCAAAATTATCACATCTTCTGGTTTTAAATCAACAATTCTGATGGATTTTGTGCAAGGACAGCTTCGGGTTCCATTTCGCTTTGGCCGATGCTTGCCGGAAGTACACTTATTTACCAGAAGTTGCCGTCTCCTCCGCAGGCTCTTCGATCTTCGACTACGCGCGCGGCTCGACACAAAATGGGAAGGAAAAAAAAGGAGCCGAATTTATGACCTCGGTGTCGTACCGACCCGAGGTAATAATCTGCTTATATATAAAGTTGCTTCATAGGTCGCATTAGCATATACTGTATTCACTAACATAACCAATCAGATCTTGGATTTTGATGAAAGAACAAATGCATAAATGAATATAAGTCCTTAGATGCAGGTCAACTCTTTGAACATGAAGAATTGACATTAGCAAATCTCAAATCTGCTTGTGTCACTCACTTTAACATGCCTCCTGGAATGTGTGATGTTCTTGTTTCACACAAGGGGCTGTCGTGCACTAAGGACAAGGTATTATTTTATACACTATATACTGTAAATCAATAAATTATATATAATTATTTAATAAATTGACTACATGAATTAACCAGCATTTATAGTACAGCAAACAGCAGCCTCGTTTTCGTTTATGTGAGATTAGTTACATCCAAGCCTCTTTTTCTATTGAGTTTATTTAATTTCAATTTTTTAAATTAAAGACCATGTCAAGTCCCTAATGTAAACAAATCCTTTGTTTACATTTTGAACTGCTATATTTGTAAAATAAGACAATTACTAACTGAATATCTAACACTTTTCGGGTTCACAATTGTAAATGAATATTAATAAAACTAGAGTACGTTTCAATTCAAAAAAGTTTGAAAGATGCAAAATTCGAGCAACGTTTATATCTGTGGGTCCCCATTTGTTATGAGCAGAACTGATTCGCAGAACGGACTTGACATGGTCTTTAATTTTTTTTAAATCTTTTTTTGTGTTTTTAATTTTTTTTTTGTATTTTTAATTTTGTTTTTCAATTTCTTTTAAATTTTGTCAAAAGATTTGAATGAGAACTCTGGGCCACCATACTATTCTGATATTGTGTAGACTAGATATTATGCCCATAACAAAACTGTAGAATAACAACAGTACAGCATTACCATATATTACGGTCATGATAAGCTGTTGCTTGTAATATTTAAAATATCAAAATCAGGATCACTCTCATTAGGCTAGTCCATTTATAAATGTCGAGTGGAGTACTGGATCCAAATGTACTAATTTTCATGCAAAATTTGCCGGTGTTTCCCATAGCCTCAGCAAGCCTCCACAGAGGATTGCAGGCTCAGGGTACGAGATTGGTGGCACGGCCAAAAAGACCCTGGGTACGAGGATGAGTAATTACCAAGAATTTTCAATTACTAAAATCTTCCAAAAATGATGGAAAATTACCAAAAGTAATTTTTATAACCAAATGCTTCACAATGCTTCCCAGCTTTTTCTGAAATCTTGTCTGGATCATCAGGGCCAGGGGCCAGTTGCATGTTCAAAGCTGGATTAACGCTATAAACCCTCGGTTAAAATTTAACCTGCTGTTTTAATTTATGCGGGCCCAGAAGTTTAAGTTTTGAAATAAACAGACGTGCAGAAATACATAAACCAAAATAATGGTCCAATGGGTTAAATTTTAACTCATTAAAATAATTTGATTGTCCATTCAGAAGAACGGGCCACTACGCCTACGTGTCAGCTAGCCAGTATTTCTATAAAAGGGCACCTGCATGTAATTTTATACGGCTAAGATTTGTAAATAAATATTATAATAAAGTAAATAAATAAACTACAATATTAAAACTTCAACATATATGATAATTAATTTACAAATTACAATCTACATGTCAACACAGACTAAATAAAATTGTAAAGCCCAGTAATTTGTTACACGAGAAAGTTTTTATTAAATATCAGAATATAAAACGACACTTACATTTCTTCCCCATCTTGTCCAAACATGAAATCCTTTGTCATTTTTCAACACTTGAATACGGTAAAATTTATCTGATTTTCCATCAACAAAGTTTAGTAAACAATAATAATCTTGAAACACTTCGCCTTTGCCTAGCTTGCAATGGTCATCCATGTTCATATGGTTAGCACTATTTTCCATCCAGCAAACTGACCTGACGTCATTTTCGGAAGATAGAAGAGTTAAATGGCTATGTAACTAACCCAAACCCTCTACCCCTACTCTAACCCCAACCGCAACCCTAACCCTAACCCTAACCCTAACCCTAACCCTAACCGAATTAATAAAAATTTTAAAAAAACCGACTTTATAAAATCGATAGGGCGGTTTGCTGGATGGAAAAGTGCTAACCAGAAATCAGAGCTGCGAAATCTGGATTTCAGGTGTCAAGTGTGGTTGGTTTTTGCGCATGCTCGGAGCCAAATGCCGTTGAAAAAGTATCCAAAATTTACCAAAAGAGGCCAAACAAAATGGAACACTGTGAACAGTCCAAAAAAGAAGAAACCAAAACCCAAACTTTTTTCTAGCGGCCAAACAAAGAAGCCAATTAGCCATTTCCCAATCGAGCAAAGGACTGTGTCATGGACTGTGTCTAGTTGATGTTTGGAGGGACAACATGTTATAGTGAGCGAGCTGAATATATATTAAAAGATGCCTTATTATAATTGCTGCACAATTAATAGCCCGCGTGCAGGCCCAAGGGAACTGATAGTGGGCCTGCAAGCAAGGCCCGGTATTTTGTAAAACGCCCCTTTTCATAACACGCCCCATTCGCGCGTCAATTGTCAAAAAAGAACCAATGACAGCAACCCAAATATTAACAAACAAACTCGCATTAAAATGTTGCGGGGTTTTCTCTGCTTTAATATTCAAAATAGAAACAATGTGTAAATGCCTGTGTTAAAACTCCAAAAAAACAAGCAACACAGTCAGTAATTGCCAAATTTACAAGTGCTCATTTTCAACTAAAATCGGAACAGGCAAATTAAGACGAATTTCAACAGAAAACCAGTCTCAAACTTCAAATCGTGAGGGAAGTCGTGCGACCACATCAGCATTTATAATGTTGCTTCGCTGTCGCCATATTTGTTATAAATAAATTGTCTCACTTATCAGATCGTGTGTGCAATTCTTGTTGGCGGCGGAAAGTACGAAATTTATTTCAGTTATTTCATTTGGTGAGAACTCTACAAAAGAAGAGAGCGTTCAGAGTCCAGATCGTTTCGTTTCAAACGGCAATTTAATACCGACTTCTCTTTTGCTCCCTCAGCGAAGCCTTGTAAATCGCGAAGTATTTTGAATAGGCTTACATGCAACTGCATCTCAACATCAACCAAAAGATAATTTTCTTGAGGAACATATAACGTATCAAGTCTGTTTGAAATTAATGAAACTCAAGTAAAGGTTACTATAGTTTTATACCCCATTCGTAATAAATGTTGCTATTCCAACACCTCACGACAAGCAATCCTCATTGGCATAACGGCAAAAAATCTCTTCCTTCAAGTAAACAATAAACAGTCTGTTCTTGTTCCACTTGTAATCGAAAAAAGTGATCAATTTTCGAATTTTAAGCTTATCGAGAGCCTTTGTCTATGCCTTGTGATGAATCACTGACCTAATTATAGAATCCAACAGCAAACAGCCAATCAGAATGCCGCGTTCGTGGGCGAACGCGGAAAGTACAAAATACCGGGCCTTGCTTGCAGGCCCACTATCAAGTTCCCTTCAGCCTGCTCCCTTGGGCCTGCACGCGGGCTACACAATTAATAACTTTAGGAATGTAGGAAAACTTCCTAGATACTGTCAGTGCCGTACCGACCGGGGGGTGTGGGGGTGTAACACCCCCCCCCCCCAATAATTGCTCATGTGGGCAATTTCAGGTAAATCCAGGTAGATTTGCAGAAGAATTTCAGGTAGTGCACACAAATTCAGGTAATTTCTGGGCCCAGAGAAAGTTAATATACAAAAATAATTGTGAATTTGGAAAAGAGTGAGGTAAATTTACAAAAATTTTAGAAAATTATACAAAATTTTTGGATAAAATATTTGATGTCCGGAAAAATTTTGGGGGGCTACGAAAAAGTTTGGTATTGGGGGGGAGGTCATCGTCGTAAAAAAATTTTCAGTTAAAAAACCCATTTTTTCAGGTAAATTTGGAAATTTTGATACTTTCAGGTAGATTTAACAAAACACCCCCCTGAAGCGAGTCCCTCGGGACGGCCCTGGATACTGCATTCAGCATATTGTTTATTTGTTGTCCCTCCAAACATCAATTAGACACAGTCCTCTGCTCGATTGGGAAATGGCTAGCTAGATTAGCCCAATTTTCAATTTCCATGTAGACCTTATTTGCGTGTATGGTGCGACTATGTAATGCACGCGGGGAATGTTGGGAGAATTAATACTGTGAGAATACGAAAGAAGCGTGTAAAACACGAAGCGCAGCTAGGCTGTAGCCGTCGCGTTAGTGGCCGTTCTGGACTGTCGATGAAATGCAATTAAAATGATCCGTGCACTGTTTATTTATGCTATTCATACATGTTACAGATTCGTACAACTTCATTCGAAAAAATTTCCAAAGGGTTCAAAATTTTCCGAGACGTTACATTTTCACTCTGCCCTAAAGTCCGTAAGGTAAACAAACGCTTTGCATGTTTATATTTCGAACTGCTATATTTTTAAAATATGATATACTAAACGAATATCTAACACTTTTCTAGACGTTTCAATTCAAAAAAGTTCAAAAGATGCAAATTTGGGCAATGTTTATATCTGCGGGTCCCCTGTTATGAACAGAATTGATTCGCAGAACAGCACCGTTAATATTTTTTGCATTTTCGACTATTATCTTAATTATTTTTGGCTCTTAAATTTATTTCTCCCATCTTGTTTCTCAACTTACGTTCATAATTTGACCAACTTAAATTTTATTGGAGCCCCCGCGGCCCCGCCCATGGCACTAACAGAAAACAGTTCTGCTTATGACGATTTGAACTTCTAACAATATGTTTTTAATGTTATTGTTTACATTATATTTTATTCCTAACTTAACTATAAAACATAACTCTTGAGTTTTAACTCATTTATAATCAATATCTTAGCATATTATTTATTGTCTAAGATGCAGTGGCGACGCTAGCCATGGCAGCTGGTCATGACTTGCTAATAAACACGCAGACAATACATTTTTAAAAGTCGGGAAAAATGGGAATGATTAAACATTTGCACAGCATGACCTGTTGCTATGGCTAGCTTCGCCATGTAATTATGTACTAACATTACATATTAACTGCAGTTATGTCTTTAGCACCAAAATACTGACCAACAAATTGACAATAAGAACAGTCAGTGTCCTGCCCTACAGAGGGGGACTGCGGACAATCAACAATTACTCATGTCCATGTGGCTGCAGTCAGTGCCCCACCTACCCACCCAGGGGCAAGCTGTGCTAACATAAAGATTGCAACAGGATTAAACTTCTGATCTCCAACAAATATATCGACTGATGGATACATAATTGGTTGCAACCACTCATAAAATTTTCGTGAATCTTCATACTTCCATTGTTCATCTTGATGAGGAAAATCCATCCCAAAAATACTGTTCAGACATGGTTTTTCGTCTGTATCATGGTCTTCATCATCCTCGTCATAATCAACGTCAGAATCATCAATGTTATGTTCATTTCGCGGAATGTGAAAGTGTAATTTATTTTCTCTTGGGTTGCTAGAATAGTATTCATTTATTTCTGGATGAAAATGGAAAACTCCATCCACCAGTTCTAGCGGTGTAGGTAGTTCCTTTTTGTCCCAAGGAAATATAACGGCACAAATTTCATCTAGCCCTTCGTTGGCTGAACATTGGTTACCTATAATGAAATGGTTGCCAATATTTCGAAGGATTTTGTAGATGGAAATTTTGAGTGTGAATTTTACACATTTGTTTGGATCTATCCCTCTGGCACGAATCGAACTTGCGATATTAGTGCAACGCTCTATAATCAACTGAGCAACATTGGCGTCACCTTAGTACATATACATCTCAAACTCATTAATAATTCATGAGTAAATTAGCGGTGGAATTTTAAGGAATTATCGGTGGAATTTTAAGTATAACCAATCAGATTTCATGCTGTGATCACGTGCTTGTATTTATTTGGCAACATGGCGTCTACAGTTCAATCGTGTGCGGAGTATACCGATGTACATCGGTATGTCAAACGATTTTTATCGGCCGACTAAAATCGCATCGTGTGCGCCAGGCTTTAGTGTGTTGCACCGGAATCACAGGGCCGCAGGTTCCATACCTTCCAGAGGGCCTATTGTTACAATTTTCGCAAATGCTCCTGGTCAGATCTGATCAATGTGTAAAATTTACAATCCGAAAAGTCCATCTACAAAACAAACCCCTCAACAATTAGTTCTATCCAGTGAGATACCAAAAATCCTAACTGAAAAGCAGCCTTCATATTTTTTTACAAAAACGTGAAAATTTAGTCCCCAGCCTGTATTTGCCCCACCCTCGCCTTCTAATAAACCCGCAGCCGAGAGCCAAGGGGAAAAATAAGCGCCCAAGGGTGGGGTAAAAAGTGGAAATTATTCATCGCAATGTGAACAGTTTTTCGGTTGAAAGATTGTGAAATATTACAACATGTCACTCACCAATAAGTTCTTTTGTACGTTTGCATGGCGATAAAATATAATAGTTTTGTTTGTGAAAACACCACGTAAATTTATTACTGCAAAGCACATATTATTAGCACTGATGAAGATCCGGGCTTACGGATCGAAAGCTTTGCAGTAATAAATTTACGTGGTGTTTCCACAAACAAAACTATTATGTCACTCACCACTTAGCATACCCAAGCGAGACGCTTCACTTCTCGTGTAAGTCAGTATTTCAAGACAACGACATAAACCTTGTAAGCTTCTCACATCACCAGAAAATGGGTCCAAACCATACGGATGAACGACTCGACAGTTCCACATTGAGGGAAATGGACGCATCACGTATATATCGTCTTTCTCACCGTCCTCAGAAAAGTAACAATACCTTTCAAAATACCAGAAAAAAGTAAGCAAAATAGAACTATAGATACATTCCTTGTCAACGCATTAAGTGCATTAAACATATATTAGCGAACTTAAGCAAGGCTTAATCTAATACCCCTGAATTTTCAGGGGAGGTGCAGCAATTCTCGGGAGAATTATACAAGGTACACATGGTCTTAGCTAGAAGGCCGTGTTAAAACGAACGTGGCTTTATTATTTATGTAAAGCCGTGCAGGTTTACATAGTAATGTGTTTACTTACAAAAGACAGAATTTTCTCCTATTTGTGTCGTAAGAAAAAGTTTCTTAAATGTATAGGCCGGTCAAGGTGACCGGCCAACTCAATTTTAGCTCGGACATACCGAATTTCTGGCCGGTCAAATTATTCAGCTTAATGCAACGCCTAGTAAAGTATACCCCTAAAAATATGACTATTTTTCCAGTAGAGCATTACATAAAGCCTTACTGTAAACAGTAGTTAAAAAAACTCCTTCACATAAAACAGCTTGCACTGCGCTAAAACAATGGCCTTTTAATTAACTCTTAAGCCAAAAGCATGACCATGGGCTTTGTGATGTACTGCGTGGGAAAGCTGGCGTACATTGAAGTTCTTTTCCCGCAAGATATTGGACAACATGTTATGGTTCTTAATTATAATGCTTGACAACTTTATTTTGATGATTAATTCAAATGAAGATTACTTGTTTGTTCTTTTACCGAAAGTGACCGGTCAAAATGACCGGCAAGGTAAGAATTTGACTGGACAACTCCGCATTCTGGCCGGACATTGTCCGTTGACCGGCCGTTATTTCACGCCCTGTATAGTTTGTTGAAATTGGTAAAAATGGCAAATCATGTCAACCATAATATATGTCACATGGAGAGGCTTTATACTGTACCCGATCAAACTCATCTTCATTAGTATTCTTTATACAAAAATCCATCCTAATTAGTATTCTTTATACATTCTTTAAAAAATCCATCCTAATTAGTATTCAGCATTAGTATTTGAAGCTATTCAAAACACTTGTACATGTAATCGTGTTTTATCATATCTAAAACGAACGTGGTAAAAATAATCAGTGACAAAACACTCCTACGCGTGTTTTAAATAGTATTTAGTGCTCCAAGAGTTGCTAGAATAACTTAAGGCCATGTTACACGGTGCAATTTTTCTTGCAACTTGCAATGCAATTGTACTCTTGAGCGATGTCAATTAGTGAAATCAGTGAAGAATTTTCGATATGTTGAGAAAACATCAGCTGAGTGTAATGAAGACTCGTATTTGGCAATTTTACATCTCTCAAGAGTAGAATTGCATTGCAAGTTGCAAGAAAAATTGCACCGTGTAACATGGCCTTTATTGTAATATGTCAGTGCGAAATATAATAAAACAACAACAGGCATAGTCTATTTTGAGCATAACTGGAACGGTTACCGTGGATTTGGCTATTCTGGGAAATAGGCAAGTAACATTAATGACACCATGGAAATTTAGAAACGCTCCCAAAATCTAAAATCCCATCTAAGACCCTGAAGGTGCGTCCTCACCTGAAAATCCGGGCATGCATTTAACAGAAAACAAATACATACCAGCTGTTGTCGACGCCACTTGTCGTATTATCAGTATCCCCTGGACGTGACCACTCTGCCATTGGCCCCTCGTTTGAGAGGTCAGATTTTATCCCCAAATCAAAATGTCTTTGTATATACATCTTCCAAAAATACTTGTCACTCAGCAATGTCTGGAAAAAGATTTAACATAGAAAATATTATCATAGATTATACCTCTGGTATAAAATGGTCTGACATTTGACAAAGTAAGATAACAATATAATACACTATAAGACACATTAAGACCAGGGTCGAACGTCGAACTTTTCATTTTGCGAACCTAATGTTAATGAGCTAAGTTCTTTTTTTCACTTCATTTGTGTTAGGTTCGGCACATGAAAAGTTCGACGTTTGACCGTGGCCTAAGATGCATTCAATTTGCTGCTTAAAATGTGTTCACAACAAAAAGATTGTCTGGATAAAAACATCAATGGTAAATACTTCCCCCTTCTTCACAAGTAAAATCATCTGTCATTATACACAGATCAACCATTAATGCACGAGATTTTCTCCTTCACAAGTAAAATATAAAAATGGTAGAAGCGTAATATTCATTACCAGCCTGCCAGTCTGCAGTCTTCAATTGAAGCCCGTTGAAGACTGCAGATTGGCAGTCGAAAGCTCGTTTCAATAATTTTTTAAAAACCAGAGAACGTCAAACTATATCAATAGAAGTAAAATTGTTTGGCATTAGACAGAGCAAAGGATTAAGGGACATTCCTACCTTCCAAGCTTTGCAAACTTGCATGTATCGTAAAACATCACGTACAGAAAGCTGTGATAAGATGACACAGAGGACGTCCACTGGTAGTTGTCCTTTTGATAAAAGTAATACATCTGGAAATTCTGGTTTTTGCAACGTCTAAACAGTGGCATTAATTGATACATTGGCAACAGTATGACAATAATCGGTACGTTTTAAACACCAGGGGCCAGTTGTTCAAAGCTAAGTTAGCTTAACCCTAGCTAGGTTTACCTAAAATTCAAAGCAAACTTCCTTACACTTTGCCTATAAATTTGGAAATATTTCAATAAATTCTGAAATAAACAAACGTGCAGAAATACACAAACTGAAACAGCAGGTTTAATTTCAACCCAGGGTTAGCGCTAACACACCTTTGGGTAACCGACCCCAGAGGGAATTTCAAAAGTGAAAGTTTCTTAGAGGTTCACATGCATTTTATTTGCCAACTTGATCACTGTCTAGTTGCTGAGTCCGCTGGTAAAGGCCATCCCTTACGAAAATTTCCTATAGGAATTCCTATAGGAAAAATTCCTATAAGAATTTGGGACAAAATTCCTATAGGAATTTTTCCTATAGGAATTCCTATAGGAAAAATTCCTATAGGAAAAATTCCTATAGGAATTTTGTCCCAAATTCTTATAGGAATTTTTCCTATAGGAATTTTTCCTATAGGAATTCCTATAGGAAAAATTCCTATAGGAATTTTGTCCCAAATTCTTATAGGAATTTTTCCTATAGGAATTTTTCCTATAGGAATTCCTATAAGAATTTAATAGAAAGAATTCCTATAAGAATTCTCAAGTCTAGTCCCAAATTATTATAGGAATTTCCTATAAGAAAATAATTTATTCTAATTTCCTATAAGATTTTTGGTATTCCTGCAGAAATTCTAGAATCTAGATGAAATAATAGTAAATGACAGACAATGTTGTTCATCACTCTTAATTTTTTAATGCAAAAAATAGATATAAATATTAATTAATAAATACTAATTAATATTGCAAATATAAAATTAATATGAGAAATTGGTTATACTAAACATTACAAATCAATTATAGTTTTCACCTATTGTGACAAATTAATCGTTCTACCTCAATGCAATGCCATATGATGCGTCCTACTTTATTATTTTACTCTGTCTAACTATTTTACTTTGTCTAATGCCAGACTATTTTACTCTAACTCCAGACAATTGTACTTGAATGTCAAGGGGAAATGCTGGCTCCGAATGGGTTAACTAGCCTATATTCCTATATATGTGTCTAGTTAACCCATTGAATCACATTGCGCCACGGTCTTAGCTAGGATTTTAGATCTTGGGCGTGTTTCTAAATGACCTGGGTGTGCGTATTTCTAGTTATGCTCGCCAACAACA